AGATCACGCCACTGCCCTCCAGACTGGGTGACAGAGCAAGACTCTGTCTCCAAAAACAAACAAACAAACAAAAATAAAGAAAGAGAAAGAGTGCCTGACATAATCAGTGTTCAATAAATATCCGTGGTATAGTGAATAAAAGACCAAACGGATGATTACATTTTTCACTATACTGATATACCTCTTTTATTTTCTTTCTTTTTTTTTTTTTAGATGAGGTCTCACTCCTCACCCAGGCTGGAGATCAGTGGCACAATCATGGCTTGCTGCATCCTTGAATTCCCTAGGCTCAGGCGATCCTCCCACCTCAGCCCCCTGAGTAGCTGGGACCACAGGTGCACACCACCGTACCCGGTTAATTTTTGTATTTTTTGTAGAGACAGGGTTTTGCCATGTTGCCCAGGCTGGTCTTGAACTTTTGGGCTCAAGTGACCTTCCCATTTTAGCCTCCCAATGTGCTGGGATTACAGGTGTGAGCCATGGCACCCAGCTGATATGCCTGTTTCCACATGTCCAGTTAAATCACTCATTTAATCATTTATTCAACAGATAATTATTGAACACATACTAAGAACCAGGCATTGTGCCAGTACTGGGGATAAAAAGGTAAACAGAAACAGACAAGATCCCACCCTCGTGGAGCTTATGCTCTAGTAAGTACTCCAAAGTCAGAGGTAGACTATTGATCAAGCAGATATACTACCTACTTTATTGTCGAGAGAGAAAAGGAATGTGTCCATACCTTATAATTCCCAGAAGTTCAAAGCAGGGCTCCTTCATGAGCAGAAGCTGCAGTCTGTTATTAGGGCTGAGATTCAGGTAGCCACACCCTGGGGTGTGGTCTCTTGGGTTTAGTCTCTTAGAAAGCAATGTGGTTTGCAGTTATAAACAAAGAACAATGAACTGCGGAACTGAACAGTCGACTCTGTGACAAGTTCCTCTGTTTAAGTTGGTCATTGTGTGACTTTTCTAACTTCTATGATGGTCCAAAAAGGGGTTGCCTACCATGAAGGAGCAAGCCTGATCTCACTGATAGGGTCCTATTAAGCTAAGTTCCATCCTTCACCCAGTGCCTGTGGATTGGGATGGGTGGAGTCGGTGAGAGCAGGCTGTGAAGAAGCAAAGCTGTGAAGATTCCACAGTGTTAAGATTAAAGAGCAGGATCAACACAAACACCTGGAGAATGTGACGTGGGAGGTGGTCTTATTGTCCTTGTTTGAGAGAAGATTGCCTTTTCTTACCAAAGCTGACAGCTGGGTTCCCTCACCCCTGTGGGTAATTGATGTTTGTTCCTAGAGAGGGAATTACATCCTTCTTGCCTGTCTGTATAGATCTTACAATAGGGCATTATACCCTTGTAACATCTTTTTGGACCATCATGGAAGTTAGAAAAGTCACACAACCTATACAGAGGAACTTGTCACAGAGTGGACTGTTCAGTTCCGCAGTTCGCTGTTCTTTGTTTATAACTCAGAATAAGATAGAGCTTCAAAAAGAAGCAATGCATCTATGACTGCTCAAATTGAGAGAGAAAATTTTCAGGGGAATTATTCACAAACTCCTTTTCACTGAGCGTATGGCTACTATTCCTCCCTCAAATGATAGATTCCAATAAGATGTCAGAATGGCTTTGATAGCTTCCAGTTCTCCAGACCTAAGGCAAAGAGGGATAAATAAGATCACACACACACACACATACACACACACACACACACACACACACACACACACACACTTTGATATGCACTAACAAGGCAGTTTTAATCCACTGAGTGATTTTCTCTAAAAGAGGCTTTAGCCGGGCGCGGTGGCTCAAGCCTGTAATCCTAGCACTTTGGGAGGCCGAGGCGGGTGGATCACGAGGTCAAGAGATCGAGACCATCCTGGTCAACATGGTGAAACCCCGTCTCTACTAAAAATACAAAA